ATCTACTGACCTGCCATCCTTACCTAGCACTTACTTACTTACTTACTCCTGTTACCCCCAATAGAGCATGCACCTGCGCCATTTCAAACGGCTTTGAGCCATGTCATTCAGGGTCTCCAACCATCGATTATTATCATCTCGCGGACCGCAACCAGATGGTCGACACCTACTGGCATGACTTAGTCCACTTATCAGTGACTTCATGGATTTCTAGCCACAACATCCGGCCTCACACGTGGACCCTCAACTGGCTATGTTTCACAGCCATAAAGTAGGACGGGGTGAACTACAGCGCAGTACACTCGTCCTTTGGTCAGCAAACGGATAATGTACTTCTTTGGTACACCTTTAGATGACAGACACTGCCACAGAACCTCACAATAAACAGAGTCAAATGCTGCCTTAAGGTCCAGGAGTAAAACTATTGTCGGATGCCTAAATGTGTGTCGGCGTTCCAGAACCTTCCGTAGTGTGAAAATGTAGTCTGTGCAGCCATGTCCAGGTCTGAAACCAGCCTGGTTTTCTCTAGTCTGCTCTTCACGAGCTCTAGTTAAGCGTCTAAGAAGTAACGAGGCTAACAAATTAGAAACTATATTAGTTAGATTGATTCCCCTGTGATTGTCACAAGAGGACTTTCATCCTTTCTTATAAATTGGGACAATCAGTTATTAAGACCAGTCAGATGGTATTACGCCCAGCTCCCAGATTCTAACTAAGTCTCAGTCAGTCTTACTGCTGGTAGACAGACTGTTAAAACTGGACCACTATCTTTAAAAATCTCAGGGATCAATCTATCAGGACCCGCTGCTCTCTCTCGCTTCAGATTTCCTATCGCCTTCTCAACTTCATAAAGACTAGGAGGAATTATTTCGGTTTCCCATCCAGGATGACTGGAGGTTGTGGGTAACCAAAGTATGACTGAAGGTCAGTTGAACTGATCCCTGAAGTGTGCTGCCTATCGATCCAATCTCCTGGGTTGAGAATGAATAATAAGACAATCCTTTTCCGAGATAGTTTCACTCCCATTTGGATTCCTACAACCGGTATCCTTGATGATTCTGAATAGTTGCCTAATGTAGCCTATCGCCGTTGCCTTTTACATCTCTCTTGCTTTCGCTACCCACCACTGTTCGCGATCATTGCGAAGGTTTTTTATGAGCATGCGCCTGAGCTGACTCCGCTCCTCATCGCACTCAGAGTCAGGCGGGATGAGCTTTCGAGCATCCATCAGTTCGGCAGATGCTACTGAAATCCACGGCTTCTCCCTAACCTCACGGTTTACCTTACTAGAAGATATCACTGCTGTTTCCATCATTCAGTCAGCCAGTCAGATGCAACGTAGAACATGATACGTACGTACATCAGTTCATGTCGCCATACCATATCAGCACGGAGATATAATTGTCAATTCAAATCCAAAAGTAGAAGAGGTAGTAAGGGTATTAGGAGTAATCGGAGAGCTTAGGTTTAGAAGATATTATACAGGAAGTATGATTCAGTGAGAAAAGTTTAGGAAGTCAAAACTAGAGGGGTTGAATAATCCAGAAGATTAAGATTTGAGAGGACACAAAGAATAAATGCACCGGCGCCATTGCGAACGGTTTTGATCCATGTCATTCAGGGTCTCTAACCATCGATTATTATGATCTCGCGAACCCCAACCAGGTAGTCGACAATTACCGACATGGCTAAGTCAGCTCGTCAATGACTTCATGGATTGCTGCCATGTTTTGGTTTGGCCGCCCCTAACTTTCTTCCAACCTATTCCTACACTACAAAACAAAGCTCGTCGAGGCAGTCGGTGGTTGGGCATACGCAACACATATCCCAACCACCTCAACTGATGAAGTTTCACCACTTCATCTATTGATCTGCCATCCTTACCTAGTACTCGTTTCCTAACGACAGCATTGTTCACTCGGTTGTCCCACGGTATACGAGCAATGCTTCGAAGACACCTATGATCGAAAACCAGTAACCTACGAATATCTTCTACTCTTAACGGCCATGTTTCACAGCCATATAGGAGAACGGAACGAACTGCTGCGCAGTACACCCGCCCTTTGGTTAGCGAACGGATATCACGCCTACGCCATAAGTGACGCAGGTTGGCAAAAGCCAATCGAGCCTTCTGTATCCGTGCTGAGATTTCGTCAGTCACCAGGCCATCGGCACTGATGAGACTCCCAAGATAAGTGAAGCGGTCTACACGTTCGACTACTTCACTCCCTATCACTAGTTCAGGTGCCGATGCAACCCAGTATTGAAGCAACATTTTGCATTTCAAGGGGTAAAACCGCATACCGAACATGCTTGCATTGTTGCTTAGGGTGGTCAGAAGACTCTGCATTTTGTCAGCGTCTTCACCAAGTAGGACAATGTCATCGGCATATTCTAAGTCAATAAGCGAGCCACCTGGTAAAAGGTCTACTCCTAAAAATTCAGACGAGGATAAGGTTATTTCTAGGAGCATGTCTATGATAAAATTAAACAAGAATGGAGAAAGTGGACATCCCTGACGGACACCACTTGAAGTAAAGAATTCCGTTGACAATGCGCCATAAGCTCTCACTCGACCAGTAGTGTTCGAGTAGAGAGCTTGTATAAGGTTAATGTACTTCTTTGGTACACCTTTCAATGACAGACACTGCCACAGAACCTCACGATCCACTGAGTCAAATGCCGCTTTTAGGTCCAGGCATTGATGAGAAGCACTGATGAGAAGCTATGAAATAATATGGAAGACAACTATAGTAATTACCAATGAAGTATATCTTCGTCGGAAGGTAGGCTTAAAGCTAACTAGAAAAAGGATATCAAAGAAGATCAGTACAAAAAATGTACACTACATAAATGAAGCTCATGACATAATCTAACTTCGAATTTCGTAACAGGTTAACCGCAAAATGTAAAGATGTTCAGAGAAACGACTTAAGAGAAATATGAGAAAACTAAATTTGCCAGGATATGTAAAGGATTTTATAATTCATGAAAATCATACTACTTTTGTAAAGACTTGATCAAACTATTTTACACAAAGAGAGAGAACCTTCGCCAGCTCAGGAATCGACAACATTCAAAATTCCTAAGCGTAACTTCGTAAAGAGGTGGGGCACTTTAGATGAGTATTGGCCATATGGTCAAAATCGTATCTCAACCAATTAATTAAATGTAAATTCACATCTTTATTGAATAAATTCATATTTGGCAACCAACATAAGCGCAACTTCCTAATGATTACAGAATGTGCAAGCTAGTTTTAAGAGAACAACAAACATTTAACACACACTGTACTAGACATTCATTAAACAAAACCAAATCACGGCGAGATAATTTGATCCATGTACACTGAAACATCACTACTTATTTTTCTCGACGACCACTACACCTATAATAATGAATCGCCAGTTTACTTCACTTATGGGTACAAACCAAGTATAATTCTACCCTTGACACGTTTAAAAGGCATATCGATCATTATCCAACATTTACTCAAGATTTCAGAAGCTGAATTTCTTCAGCATTGCATGAAAAGATCACATTCGTATGTTACAATATTTTAGTCGATCAATACTTTATAACATAAGCAGAATTCTATCTTTGCAGACCGATTTAAACTGAACAAAAAAAAGTAGTAGAAACAACCTCAAAAAACATCTACTTCGAAGTATGCACAAACGCTATTCATTGTCTTTTCATAGATAAGTAAACACCAACTATGTAAGATATATTAAGACACAGTTTCTTTTACTAACAAACAGTGTTACAGCAACTTCTGGTTGGCTTCAGATTGGTGAGTAGTAAGTAGTATAAACAGATGGTAGTTTTTTTATAATGCAAACAATGTTTGTGAGTAAATAATCCACTAATTTTTTCTAACTTAAATCGTTAGTTATGGTGTTTGCAGTAAATAATAAAAGTACTATTCTCTATAATGAGATTTTGGTGCATTAACCAACTGATAATTGTACTGTAAAATTTGGTAAACTACAGGTTTTACATTTAAAAATTAATAGACAATCGAATGATAAAATATATATATATATATATATATATATATTTCTTTTGAAGAAAAGTAACACTGATGCAGTAAGGCGAAGTTATATTTTATACTCAGTCCAACATACTGTTGCGTCAAAGAAAATTGAGGTTTTACAACAGAAAGTAGCTAACTGTACAATATAAGTAAACTTGAAAATTGAAAATACTGAAACTCAGTTCCTTATTGTAAACAATCGGAGTTTGAAAAAACAAAAAAAAAAGTAGCACACACACAAACACACACACATTCAATAAGATACACACGGCAGGCTAAGCATTTTTCGTGATTTATCAAAATTTAGTATAGGTGTAGCTTCTACCGTCAAATTATTTTTTTATAACACAATAGTGTCTGATCAATCAAGGTAGCAATTGAGCAAAACAAATGAAAACTACTCATTCCTCCAACTTGAAAGAGTTAACACGTAAGGAATAGAAGAAATGTACAATTACGATAGTAGTAATAACAATAATAAAAAAAAAATTGGTACTCATTCGAACAGATTTAACAACCATCAATGGTGTTTAATTTTGTGTATGCTTCTACAACATGCAAGAAAAAAAACAGAAGACTAAGATTTGCAGGTATGAAAAAGAAGATGAATGAAAAAAAAGCTGTCTGATTACTCACAGAAACAACACACACACACACACACACACATAGAAGAGAATTCAACACTGATTAATCCAATCTCAATGATATATATGTATAAAGGACCAAAATACAACTGCTACTTCCAGAAAATAATAATTTTTATTTAAGGGGAAATCTAAACTTTTCAATGCAGAAAATGATTGTTATTTTTGTTTTGTGTTTTAAAAAGAACTGCAAAAAAATGACAACAATGAACAGGGGAGATAGTATAGTCATCGCAAAATTATTCACCTGACACTTAGATTATTATTGCCTTAAAAGCAAAAAAGAAAAAAATTGGAAATACAGTGTATGTTGAGATTCTTTATAATTTCCCTTTAGCTTTAGCTCCACGAGGTGGAGTGATTGGTCGGCTGCCAGTTGGAACACCAACATAGTATTTTTTCTTTTCAGCTGGACGCAAAATCTACAAAAGAAGAAAGCAGGCACAAAAACCCAATCAATTAATAATATAGGTAATCTATAATAACAGTCCACATGAATCGTTTCTTGATTGTTATTTTTTTCTAAGGACAATCTTCTATATTTAGTGTGATTGCCTTTATTTTGTTGTAATACACGACTTACGAAGCACATGGTAAATAATTCGAGAGTATTACAATGTTCATAGAAAGTAATGCCGTAATATATTATCTACATACAATGACAATTATTATTACGCTTTATGGTAAATATGTTGTGATATGCAAGTTCAAAACTGGTCATACAGTTACAGATACACTCATTCTTTATCTTTTCAACGATTCAAAGTTTCTTCAGTATTTAATACTCTTCTTCAGTGAATTCAGTTTGTTTACGAATCATATTTCTGATAGTGAATCTTTCTTATTATCAGTAATGCGATTATTAATTTGATTTCCTTAGTATTGAACTTGTTAATTTTATATCGCTGCGCTGATAATGTGCAGGAACTTGGTATGGTGAATATATGTGCAAGGTTCTAGGTTGATTATGGATAGTTGTCTTCTCACTACTAGTGGCAATAAACAAACATGACACCCTTCGGAAGTAATCTTTTAGTGATATACATGAACAAATATAAACCGTATATAGCAAGTTTAATTTACCGAAATACTCAAGAACATTAATTAGCTGCAAAAATAATCACACTTTAAGTAGAACTACTGTTGCCGAGTAATAAGTGATAGTCTGCCGTAAATACAAATGAACATAAATCCTAATTATTGTTGTCAATCATTTACTAAACACAGGTTAATGTACCATGTTTTGAGTCCCATTTTGGCGTGAGGGTTAGTAACACTATTGGCTAACTGTGACCAACTGGTACATGTCGACTTGTGGCGTAGTTTCGTTCTCTCAGCACAAAGAACACGAGAGAATTTTTAGAAACTTGGCACACAGGTCAATCAGCAATCAACAAACACATCAGCATTGATCCAATTTATCAAACAATCACAAAAATCATAGGCAAGAAACAGATCAAAGGGAAATATATAATCAAAATAAAGCTGCAAACAATGACAGGTTTAAGGTCAATAATAGTCAGTCAGTCACAACACAGAACTTCCTACGTACGTACATCAGTCCAAGTTGCCATACCACATTAGCACAGAAATGCAATTGTCACTCCAAATCCCATAGCAATAGAGGTAGTAGAAGTATTGGCAGTAATCAGAGAGATTATGGTTCGATGTTATTATTCAAGAGGTATAATTTAGTGAAATAAACTTAAAATAAAAAGATAAAGCTGATGAGGAACTCAGAAGATTAGCATTTTAGAGAACACAAAAAGTGGATGCACCCGCGCGATTGCAAATGATTTTGAGCCATGTCGTTTACGGTCTGCAACCATCCATGACCATCGTCTCCTGGACTCCAACCAGGTAGTCGACACCTACCAACATCACTCAGCTCACTTGTCAGTGACTATGAATTCGTGCCACGTTTGGGTTTGTCCACCCCTAGCTTTCTTCCGACCTATTCCTACGCCACAAAACATTGCTGGTCGAGGCATTCGGTGGTTTGGCATACGCTTTACATGTCCCAACCCCCTCACCTACTAAAGTTTCAATACTTCATCTATGAATTTTTCATCCTCACCTAGTTCTCGTTTTCTAACGACAGCATTGCTAACTTGGTTGTCTCAGGATACACGAGCAATGCTTCGGAGACACCTATGATCGCAAATCATTGCCCTACGAATAACTTCTATTACGACTGACCATATTTCACAGCCGTATGGTAGGATGGAGGGTACTGCTGCGCAGTAAACTCGTCCTTTGGTTAGCAAACGGATATCTCCTCTACGCCATAAGTGACGCAAGTTGGCAAAAGCCAGTCGAGCCTTCTGTATCTATGCTGAGATTTCGTCAGTCACCAGGCCATCGGTACTGATGAGACTCCCGAGTTAAGTGAAGCGGTCAACCCGCTCAATAACAACCAGTCAAGATCGAGGTAAACAGAATAAGCTACAGGTCAAACGTGGAGAAATTCGAACACTTCACTTCTATCTGAAGTTTGTGGTGATGAAGTTGTTCAGAAGAACACCGAAAGCTCCACAACCAAAACATCCAGCTCAGAGAATAAAACTCCATCACAATCATCCACCTGTGCTACATATTTTATCCGTCTCAAAAGTCGAGTTCTTTTACCATTAAACCCCATGTTTCTTACAGATCAAAGGCAATTTAATCCCAAAAAGGTGTAATTAAATATTTACACCAAGTAGGGTATAACCAGTTTAGTTTGGTGAATAATTTCAAAACACCAATAAAACCATGTTTAGAAGGAAGCCGTTGATAAGCTTTTTTCTATTATTATGACAAAAGCTTTAGATAATAAGCAGCCGATAAAAACCTAATTAAAAATAAAGTGAACTAATATTACTACTTAGTGTTGCCTTTGCTCGCTTAGTGTTAGTAAGTTAAACTAAATGAGGTTTCGTAAGCGATAGAAGTTGACGCTTGGGTTTGAAGTTTTCAGTAAGACTATCTGGCACTATTTGTGCGAATGAAGTAGTAGCGAGAATTTCCAGGTGGATTCTATGTCGTATTTATATGTCTGTTCATCACTAATCTAAATACATCAAAACTAGAAACAAAACATTACTAACAGTTTTAGACCTTTTACCTGAAATGAGCACAATAACGTATCATCTACAGACATCATAGCTCCTGCGTTATCAAATTCACCGCAATAATTCGGGGCAGAAAAAAGCGTAACTAACTGACGCTTGGCGAAGAACTCATAACCATCTTCAACAACCTAAAGTAGTGAGTGAAATTGTGTGTGCGTATTACCTGATGAGCACGGCATATTAAATCTAAATCATGTTTATGTAAAAATCTGGCCACAATATCTGGACCAAATGTGTAACTGACACCACGGTCGTTTTCACCCCAACCAGTTACATCTTTGTCTGGATCTGACCAAAGTAAGTCACACAGTAGTCCTTGATCGGGAACATCTGTAGGACGCATGATGCGTCTGATTTGTTCCATTGTCGAAAGATCTGGTGAGAGACCTGTAACAGATTATCGTATAAAATAAAGAACTAACCGCCATGACAGCAGAAAATTTTTTCGTCGATAATTGCAACAATCGGCAAACAATTGAAACAATCTGTGAAGGTCTTCCACAATTTTATGTTATATCGACGTTTGCCTATATGTCAAATAAACTAACTAATCGCTTACATTCATCATAAAATCCATATATACGGTTAATAGAGGCACATTCATGATTGCCCCTCAGCAGGAAGAAATTTTCTGGGTATTTGATTTTATAAGCTAGTAGCAGGCATATTGTTTCAAGAGACTGCTTTCCCCGGTCCACATAGTCGCCCAAAAACAGATAATTTGCTTCAGGAGGAAATGCTCCATACTCAAAAAGTCGGAGTAAATCATAATATTGCCCGTGAATGTCACCGCAAATTTTGAGAGGAGCCTCCAATTCTAGTAAAATAGGTTGACTTAAAAAGATTTCGCGAGACTTCAGACACAGCCCGCGAATTTCTGCTTCGCTCATTTGAACATTTTTGCCAGGACGAGTGCGTCGGACTAAATGACATAAAATGGAAATAAAAACAAAACATGTGTTGATAATTAGGTGACTTCAATCCTAGATTTCAAACAAAAAAGCAATTAAATATATCATAGAGGTAAAGAGATCATCCATTGGTTACGTTAACGGTGCAATGACTGTAACAGAGCGACGACTTTCAAGAAAACTATTTAGATATTCTACTGTATCAGCGACGAGTGTTTCGTACTCAGATTCATGTGATAAGTCTAGTAATGTTTACACAATCAGTGTTTTTATGTAAGAAAATGGAATGGCATAATACATAGACTAATCGAAATTGTCCTGAAGTGTCCAGCTTAGCAATTAATGAATACCAAGGCGTATAGTCTCAGATATCTTACCTGTGTAACAATAATTGTGTTCAAGTAAATAATGACTAAACGTCTGGCTGGAAGTAACCGAAGATTTTCATGGACGCACTTCCAAGACAGCATATCAAAATACACGATTCATGCTAAATCAACTCCATACATACTGTATCTTGATATGACTGGCGTGAGCTTATTGTTAGCTTAGTTTCACTTAAACCAAAATTACAAACAGAAATGGCCAACGACTGAAGGCGGATTACTGGTACTGACTCGAAATCTGGTTCGTTAACTGATTTACTAATTGTATCCAAACTCAGCATTACTTAGTTTTCATTTTATTTAAATACAATTATTGGTATAAAGGGGCACCTTAAAGTTCGTGCGCCACACTTGAATCTGAGTGTGAGCTGGGTCACTGCCTGGACACCTAAACCGAAGCAGATGGTTTCTTTGAAGGGTGATTCGAGCCGCTGACCCAGACGTTTAATCCACAAGACTGGAGAGAAGCCAGGACATGTGATCCTATGGTATTTAGTAACCAAGCGTAGGTTCATACACTGTTTATTCCTTCGGGGTCCTGGAGTCCACGTGCACCAGTGGTTTGGGACCAGGGTTTCCCAACTCTTCTAGGTGGATTGTCCGTGCCCATCAACCCGGTTTAAGTCTTCGCCAGGCACCTGCATACCATCCTCTCAATTTCATAAACAACACCCTCTCATCGAGGCAAGACTTCTTTAGCAGAAGCTATACATATGTAAGTATATGAGGATTCTGAGGGAGAATGGAACTTTTCAATATACTGTTCGTAGTGTCTACTTTTTAAATTTGGTAAGCATAGCTGGCAGTAGCAGAGTAGTGGAGAATGTATTCTTGTGTTGCATGCTTGCATTTCGTTAGAAACTTTAGACTTGTTGGCAATGTATGGAGATTTTAAAATGCACTTCAAGTACGCATTTCGCATTCACTTTGACAATTTGGAATTTTTAGAGTTGAATGTGAATTTGTTCCCATTCTTCAAATCTCAGACTGATCAGACAAATATCCGCTTATTCCCGTAATTTTAACACAAGAATACTAGCTGTTGGGAAACCGTGAGAAATTTGAAGGCACAAGTTGTTGACTAAATTCCACGTGGGTTAAAATTAGATCATAAGGTAGAGCAACGAGCTATGATATGTCAACTCTATAACCAATCAGGGGTTGTACCGCACTATCGACCGTCAAGTTGATTGGAATACCGACGTTAACTGAAATTCGTGTCATGCGTCTCATGTGTAACTAGGTTGATGGTCAGTAGATATAAATAAATGGTGGAAAACCCTGGTTGATAAGTGAGAGTGGCGTTGTATGGTTTACGAATAGTTGTGATGAGAACTTGGAACTGTCGGGTTACTGTAGCAAATCTTACCAGACATTTAGGAATCATAAAAACTCAGGCGATCCAACAGATACAAGATCTAGACCGCAGAAAGTAGTCTGGGGGAAAGTGTATAAACCGTTAGAAAGATATCATTAAGAGTAGCCAAAACACCTGATTGTCAGTGTTAGCATTCGAGTGACACTAATGACATACATATGCTGAGATTGTGAACACCAACAAGCTGTGTGAATGGAGAAATGCCGTGTAACAGATAAATCGGCCATCAGGTGTCGAGTCGGAATACATTCCGCAACTTAATGAACGTACACAACCGACCCAGGTCAAAGAGTCGCTAGTCTCTGTACTAAAATGGAATAAGCTCGTGTATTTGATACCAAGATGTACCACTGGCTTGAGTCTAAGAAGTTAGAAATCTTACGGGTGAAGACGATGAGTGACTACATATATTTAAATCTTGTGTTCTATTAGCCATACACTATTAGATTGATGAGTTGTTATTCCATTAAGTGGACATCAATAATGCTATTACTTACCCTCCAGCAATCTACCAATAACACTATCAATGTTCACCTTATCATCCCCTGCCATTGTCTCACGAGAAAATCGAAACTACGTTAACGGTACCGCCTGGACTTTTTATTAGCCCATTGAACATTGTAAAGGATTTCGCGAAAGTTGAACAGAAGAAATTGTTTATTGTTGAGTAAGTATCTTTATGTGCGGTTCAAAAACAATTTTTGACTTCATCTCCAACACATATGTTTTTCAGTCTCAGTTTGGGAAGGACAGAAGATTAAGAGGACCATCCAATATCCAATGTCTTTTTCACGAGCTAGTGTAAACCAACTGATTTCTTTGTGCTCGATTCTTGTTCTTGAGGTACGGTTCCAGGTGTTCCGTAGTGTCAAATTAATGGAGGTCTAGCCACTGGACTGTCTAATTCTAGTCAGTTGGCAGTTGGTTGTGAGTTTGTATGTCTCGGGATTTGAATGAAAACGTTTGTTTCAGGGCAGTAGGGTTTCTGGGTACCAGCGGCTATCACATTACCACACTGGAGATCAGTTATTTTCAATGTGGAGAGTAATAGGGATAATAAGGATAAAATTCTAATGCTAATATGAATAAAATTTCAGAACTAGGTAATATATAAATGATTTAGCTTATTGATTGTTAGTGAAGATTGTGAGAGAGAACCGTAGTGTAAGCAAGGAAGAGGAAACAGAGATAATAGGCGAGATAGGTTCAGTAAGCGATCTGAGGAAATGGCAGTGATAACAACTAGAAGGTCTCAAGATATCCATCATAAACAGCTTGTCCAAGAGGGAGATGATAGTCCGTATGTGAGTACATGATTATCAAGTCTCTTCGATCAGGTCTCAAGATATGCACCATGAAAGTCCGCATTTGTTGCACTCTTTTCCTTATTGCGTCAACTAAAGGTTCATCAACCACCCATTGAGGTTATTAATTCAATTCATTTATGATCCGTTTGGAAGATATTTGATTCATTCCACTCCTGTCGAGGTTTTAAGTCCTAGTGCTTACCAACAACCAAGGGGTTATGTTTGAACGTCATACAGTCCTCTAACTCATTAGAGAGAAATCGAGCAATATTGTCAAGTAAATATTCAAATGAAATAGCCTTCATATCTCTCAAACTGATGCCTACCTTATTAGTGTTACTGGGTATACCTCTAACTGAAGAGGCTCAAGCTGGCAGCTATCCGAATCTGATTCGTGTGGACCGTGCAGTTCAATCACATGACAACCAATGAGATTAGATTCCACACCTTATAATACCCCAACCTATAATTTAAATATAACTTCATATCCTATCATTTTTGACTATTTGTCTTATTTGATTTGCAGCTGTTCGGTAAAAAGAGACTTTGGATGTTAAAATTCTTCGCATCAGAGAATCTTCATTTTTTCCCCTATGAAGAACATGGAAATTGCAAACACTATGGTTCTGAACTGACAATATAGTACTTATCTTATGGCCGTACAAGTAAGTCAGACAGGGTAATGATTTATAGGTTATTTTGGATAAGTTTTGAAATTACATTAGTAAGTTCCAGTAGTATCTTTTAATGGGTTTTGTCAACCCTAGTAAATTTTCCTGTATTATATGTAATCGGTTATTTGATCATATCTGTTTACAGTATAGTCGCTGCGATCGAGTTTTACCTTTAAAGTGTTAAATATTCTTGTAAGAATGTTGTATCTACTAGATACCATTCGTCAGGGATGATGTGTTGCCGAAAGACATAGATCGAGGTTTTCTGTTTCTTGATTTTGTTTATAATTAAGGCACTAGTGGCTGAATAATTCAAGCATAATGGGTGGGGGCCTTTGGTACGAAAAATCAGTCTACTGAATTCTCTGTCTGTATTATTGCTTAACTTTATGCTTTTCCAATGTTCAGTCTGAATTTAGATTCCGTGATTGCAGTGGTGATCCATTATGTGAGAGAAATCAGCTGCTTATCAGACAGGGTTGAAATAACTGATTCGAAGCAAACTCAAAACTTTGCCGTGCGTATTTAATGGATGAGTAGTTTCTTATAGTTTGCATTGAAGTTCCAAACGGGGGCTTGTCTTGTGACGCAGTTGGGTACTTTCCTCAGTGTGTGTCTTATCCATAGCCAGCGCATCTCCCTAATTTTTTGTCTGTTGGAATCTGGTTTGTTCTCTCACATATCAAGTGGTGGCGGATTGTTTCCGGTCAACCGATCCGAAGTCTCTTGCGAAAAAACTGTTACCAAATAGAGAAATAAGAAGACATATTTTGTGAGATAGTATCATTTCGTGCTTTCTCGTCAGTCACATACAAGCAACATGTTATTTGTGTAAATACAGTTTTGAAGATAAGGTCATGCTAAATAAGAAATTTTGACCTTATCTTCAAAACTGTATTTACACAAATAACATGTTGTTTGTATGTGACTGACGAGAAAGCACGAAATGGTACTATGTTACCAAATACTTGTATAAACCAGATTATGGACTTCAGGTTTCGCCAAGTCTCCGCTACATACAGTAGAACAGTCTTGACTTTTATTTTGAAAATTCTGACTTTCGTATTGGTTGATAATTGTTTTGAGTTCTAGGTATTCTTCAATTGTAGAAATGCTGCTCTTGCTTTACCAAGCCGTGCCTTTACATATAAATCATACTCACCTTGTTTATCACTGATGCTCTCCAGATATATAAAGTTTTCTGCATTTTCCAGAGCTTCTCCGTCATATATGATTTAGTTGGTACATGTTGTGTTGTGTCAGATGATCTTTCGTTTTCCGCTAGGATTGACGAAGTGTAGTGCTGCAGAGACTGCTGCTAAAATGGTCATATTCCCCTGTATTCGTTGTTGCGTGAAGGATAGAAGGGTTGGATCAGCTTCAAAGTCCAGATCATGTGGCTGCACCGCCCACACCATCTCTGGGGCTCATTCCACCTGGTTCTGAACATGACAGAGCGAAGTCACCTTGATCGTGGGCTGATCAGAGGCCTGTGCAACGATCGCAAACATTAGTGGATAGTGGAAGCAAGAGCGATGGAAAAGACGGCAATGACAGCTAACGTTACAAAAAACTGGTACCAGGAATTCATCGATTAGCGAAACTGTCCCCGTCTGTTGCCTCCACATTCATTTGACTTCGCTCATATTTAATTTGGTTAAGCCTTTTGATTAGCTTGTTCAACAAAGCCATTTGTATAGCAACAGCTTATATGTACCATTGGCTTTTACTATTGTCTGGTTTGTATGAGCTGGTATGACGAAACGTTGCTTAACAACTACGCGCATATTCATCCTATTCGCTGTAATGTTAATCTCTTAAATATTTCAACGACTCAGACATTTTACTATGTATATATAAGTACATTTTATTCTTATTATTTCATTCGCCAGTTCGTTCGCTACTGTGCTTGTCCTTCTCTGTGTGTTTGTGGTCTGCTGGTCCATTTGTGGTGTGCCGAAACAAACATTTTTAACACCTCGTATTCTCCTTGTGATTTATAAACCGTGAGGCGCTATTAAGTAACGGTTGCCTGGACGAGCAGATTACGAATTCTAAAAACACGATAGATATCGATCGTCAGGAAACTAGTGATACTTTGGCCACCATCTCAGAAAAGGTTGGGCTTATTGTTCATTCTCAATTCAGGAGATTAGATCGAACGCTTCCGATTTCATTTCAGCTGGTCTTAAGCGACACTTCGGATGCCCATGATCTCCGTTATTCTGGAACAGCAAGTCGATGTAAGTGCTCCGACCCATAGTGAAAATGAGAAAGCTCCAACAAATAATAATATATTTGTTCTCAAATAACTACGTTACAAGAGTCACGCTCCAAATGTTAGGGGTGGCAGAAAAATGGCGTGATTTACTGTTGTCAGCAGGAGAATGCGTCTTTCATTTCATGACACTTGCATGAATGGTGAAGTCAATGGGAGTGTAACATATACATGGTCTATTATAGTTTCTATGGTTGGTCTAAGTATTAGGTGGACCATAAAAAAGTGCCTCGGGATTTCGTGAGTTCTGAATGAAGTTAATAAATTTTCCTTGGGTCTAACAGCGTTATAAGTTTCTTGAACCTGGTGATTGTGTCTGATTGTCTGTTCCACAATAAATTGTATCGTGTTACTCTAACGCAGACTTTTTGCGTTTTGCCGTTAGTAGTATATTTGGGTTTTTCTGAGTTTGTAAGCAGGGTCGTGGTCCACAATTTTGCGGGATGTTACGAACGAGCGGCCATACATTAAATCATGGGAGAATATTGAGTAGCTTTTCAACTAATAACTCCACAGAGGTTCTAGGGAAAGATGTTTGCATCGTTCTGTGTAGTCCAGAGTATGGTTTCATCCTAGCAGTCTCCGTGTGAAGCTCCTTTGCATACTTCCTAATCGTATCTTGTCTATGATATTCATGTTTAGAAAGATAAATGAGCAGTATTCAAGGGAAGGTCTTATACACATTTTGAAAGGTGTAAGTTTAGCCTCGTTTGTCAAGAAGTTCTTATTTATAAACCGCGCAAGCCGCCTAGATTTAGAGATAAAAGAAGAAGCATGTTTCTCAAATTTTGGGCTTCCAGCGCAATGAACACCCAATTCATGAGCTGATATGAATGTTAGTGAGTGATATTTCATATTGATGCTTGCTAAAATGCATGATTCCACATTAACTGTGATTAGAAGGTAGTTGCCATGTTTCCCTTCTGGCAGATACGTTGTCACGGTCCTGCCTATACTTTCATTCAGATACTCAGGCTTATAGATGTATATAATATTGAGACCGTCCGCTCATAGGTATGATCTCCCAAATTTTACAGTTTTAAATAAATATTTGTTGGGGATGTTAGATCCCCAGAACTCGCTTGATAAACACTTTTATTTTGGGTTTATTCCATGGGCCGATCAGTTGACCTTGAGATTGTAGCATCTCATCATTCATTCATTGTACTTTCGTTTGAATTAATCTATAACGGTACTGACCATAATTTTGTATTTGAATGATTCGATTACAATATCGATTATTGTATATTGTATATATTTCATTGTGTGCAGCTTGTTGGTGTAGAATACAAT